CGTTTCTCCTGGTAACAAAGTAATTTTAAAAATCAAAAGCAGGTTAAGAGAAATGCATGCAATAAATGGAATGACAAAGGGAGATGTGTATTCTTTCTTCCAAAGAAAACCTTACCTTTGTTCAAGGCCTACTGCTACAATTTGGATTCAATGAGGCCACGTGAAATTTCTTAGAATATAAATGAACACTGGATGAAAATATAAGATATGCTGTTTAAATAATTAACAGTGATTATATCTGAATGGCAGGGTTTCAGAAATGTCTTCCTCATACATTTCTGTATCCAAAAAACCCAACCTTTGAAAAAAGTACATAATGGATAACAGTGGCACACGTAGACGAGTGAAGCTGGTGTATTTGAGAAAGCTGGAGGCTACTCCTTTCTTAGGCAACCACACCTGCAAACCAGGTAAATTCTCAATTTAGTTCAGCAAACATTTAATGAGCGCGAACCATACGACAGGCCTGTTACCAAGTCTAAGCTTGTGCTGCTCACTGCACAACAGGCCAATAATCAAGAGACAAGGAATAACGACTTTATTCGTAAAGCCAGCAAACGGAGAAGAACATGCCCCAAAGAACCATCTTGCCTGAGTTAGAATGCAGGCTTCTTTTCTACTAAAAGGGGAGGGAGTAAAGTCAAACATTTCCTGGTTCGGCTCGGCCTCCGGAGGGGATATGTTAATTTCTTCCTCCTTGCAGTCATTCACAGGTGGGCCTGGTCAGGATGTTTCCTGTGAGCTAAACAAAGGTATTTTAGCTTAATGCTCATTACCTGGGAAGCACGGTTCCCAGAGATGGGCTGTTATGTGTAGTTTAAGCTTATAGGCAACATCCCTTTAGTGATTAACTTGTAATAGAATGTAAAATGTTTTTCCCTGTTACAGGCTGTCCTGTAGGAAGGTGCTAGGGTACCAAATTTCACAGGCAGGTTCCCTGCCCAAGAGATTCACACACTAGTCAAGGGAGCACCATTTATACATGTAGGAGAGGAAAAATAATTTTCCCTCCAACTTTCTGAGTTCTTGGCTGAGACCACTGCAATGAAAGATTAACAAGAGAAAGAGAAACAGAAGTTTATTAACATGTATATCTCATGTAAACATGGGACACAGGGAGAAATGAGTAACTCGAAGAGGTGGCTTAAAACTTCAGCTGACAGAGCATTTCAACAAAGAACAATAAATCTCTGGAGAAATGACAGGACGGAGGAAAGCAGCTGTAGGCTTTCAAGGGCAGAGATAAAAGCTAATTAGTAAAATTTGTTATTTAGATTCCAGGCTGATTGGGCCTGAAGTCCTCTCTGGGAATTAACCTTTGTCCTTCCCTCCTGATGTGGGGAGGGGAGCAACTTTATAAATCTGTATCCTGCTTTTAGGCAAATGGAGGGGGAAGGGAAGAGAGAGGGCTTTTCTTGTATCTGCTTCTTAATTGCCTTCAGCTCACAAAAAACCTATGCCAAAGTGGCATCTTTTGGGCTGGCATGTCCTGAACTCCTACAGTCATATTTTGGGGTGGCATACATATCCAAACTGGTCTAATAATCTCCAAAGTAAACTCAAATGATGAACTGGCAAGAAAAAAACCCACAAACCAGAAACCTTGACATAAAAAGAGGAAATTCTGTTAATTCAACCTTTATTAGTTACACACGTACAACTCTGCTGACAAGACATTGACACACACACACAATTATCAAAAACTGGAAAAATGAATTATGTGCACGTTTAAAAAACAAAATATTTCCACACTTCCAACTACATTTATTCCCAAGTTTTATCCCATAAAATACAGCACAAAAAAAATCACAGCATAAATATCATTCAAGTAAAATGCTGTCTACTATAGCTGCTCGTGAACAGTTAAAACCCTGGGCTCCAGCCTTCCGAGAAGGCAGTCGTGTGGCACAGTTTAAAGTTAATGACACAAGTTTACAATAAAATAGAGTTATTTGCATTGTGCTTCTGATCTTTACTTTCACTGAGTCTTTACATAAAAATAAAGGTAGATGAACCAGCGCTTGACATAAAATTGTATTTAAAAGCTACTCAAATGGATAAAGATAATAGGTACAGAGGAGCTTTTTAAATGAGAATCCCTGCATAGCTGGGGAAAGTAAATTGAGAAGTGTTTTTTTTCAAGGCCAATAGACTCCCATTCTCTGGGTAATTTCATATGAGTTATGTGATAATTGCTGGGAAGTTCTCGGTGAGAATTCACTGGAGCAAGGCCCAGAAAAGTATTTTTTACACAGTAGGTGTTCAATAAAATGATATAATGCCTCACAAACGGGGGAAGGTCAATATCTCCCTCTTGGTTTAGATCAGGGGTTGGCAAATTATTTCTGTAAAAAGCCAAAGAGTAAATACTTTAGGCTTTGTGGGCAATACTGTCTGTGCTGCAGATACTCAACTTTGCCAAGAAAGTAGCCATAGATCATATGGTAAATGAATGGATGTCGCTGGGTTCCAGTAAAATTTTATTTCTGGACACTGAAGTCTGAATTTCACAAAATTTTCACGTGTCATGAAATACCATTCTTTTGATTTTTTTTCCCCAACCACTCCTTTGGGAATATAAAAACCATACTTAGCTCTGGGTTGTACAAAAGCAGACAGCAGGCCAGATTTGGGCTGTGAGCCAACCCCTGGTTTAATGGTCCTTTTCTATTTCATATTATAACATACATTAAAAAAAAATCCATCACATATGGTTACCTTATTGAAAAACAGCCCCCAAAATGTTCATTTAAAAATACTTCTGTTTTCCCCACAACCCAGAACAATTTTACTAACAGTAAGCTATTTCCTTTTCAAATTATTTTAATTCCAGAATTAATCAAAGATATTGGAATGAGTGTCTGGCCCTCAATTTATGTACCTGGTGAGCCAAATATACTAGAAAACTCAAAATCTGCCACCCAGCCAAGACATTCACTGATTTACAAAGTTACAAATGTATTTGAATGTATTCCTCCAAACATTTCAAGCACCAGTATTCCAGACTTCTAAAAACTAGTGTTAGAGCATTTTTATTGTTAATAGCAAACAGATGGACTCACCTAAATATTAAGTAATTAGGGTGTTACATAAAACAACCCTAAAACTAAAAAGTAGAAATTCACTGTCAATATGATGCGTACGTGATTCTGGACAGGGTCTGAGCAATGCATGTTACCAGGAGGTGGATTTCAGCTCATTCCTTATTGGGCCTTAGGGGAGATGGCAGATGTAACCCAGGGCAAACACAAGGCAGCTCCAGGACTAGCCATGGTACTTTTTTTTTTTTTTTTTTCGGTACGCGGGCCTCTCACTGCCGCGGCCTCTCCCGTTGCAGAGCACAGGCTCCGGACGCGCAGGCTCGGCGGCCATGGCCCATGGGCCCAGCCGCTCCGCGGCACGCGGGATCCTCCCGGACCGGGGCACGAACCCATGTCCCCTGAATCGGCAGGCGGACTCCCAACCACTGCGCCACCAGGGAAGCCCTAGCCATGGTACTTTTGTGCACAGGGACATCTCAGACCTTTAGCTATTCAGCTCCCCATGGCTCAGTGAGGGACGCTACATGCCAGCTGGGTCCAGGAGTGACTGCCTCTAGCACTACTTTCATTCATGTTTTCCTTCTGCTCCCCAGAATATCCACAGAATGTCAGTGAAGTGTGCACACAGAGAGAGTGGAAAAGGAGGTGCTTCATCCTTGTCTGTTCCACCAGGAATAGCTTTTATTCCTTTTCCTTGTATATCAGGACAGACGGAGACATGATACAGAAAAGCCTAGTGTGTTTTTAATCAGAGTTTTCAGAGTGACAGGAAACAGTGGTCATAGGGTTTTTTTGTTTTTGTTTTAAATGATGAACTATAAAAACTTATTGGATAAAAGGTGCCTGAAGGGCAAAACCTCATGCCTCTTCCAATTGGCAATTATGGAAATTCTTTTTCCTTTTGGGATTATTGTCGTGAAAGTGCTTTTGCTCTTTTGCAGGTGAAGGAGCAGCTCTTCATAAGAACAGAAATAGCAGGCTGCAGGTGACAAGCCCTCACTCAGGCTCAGGTGCTGGGCAGGTGGGTACCAACCTCCGCTCACCTTGGCAAAGCCACTGCCGGACACCCAAGCGGGGCTGGGACGTGCTGCTCATAATAATGACGACTCCTGCACTTACACTGAATTTTTACTTTTTGGCAAACACTTTCACTTTCTCTGAGGCTCACAATAGCCCATGGAGCTAAATAAGGCATGTATAGAATCTCCACTCTCCTGAGGGATGCGGGGGTGGGGGAGGGGCGGGGAGGGGTTGAATGGAACATGGGGACAAAGCCAGGCCAGGCCATTACTTGTGGGCCATCCATCCCACCAAGCTGCTGTGCTTTATGCTTAGGCTCATTTCCTAACGGAAACAACATGACATGGAAAACAGCACAGAAATGAAAAAACCTTTAAACAGTTAATTTAGGACAATGGAGACTTCAATTTAAAAAATGGTCGAAAAAGGGAGAGGGGTTCCTTCATGTCTCAAAGAAACACAGGCAATTCCGTGCTATTTCTGAAGTCTTAAAAAATGAGTGGTTCAGCCTCTGCAGCAACACCCCAGGATACCCAGCAAGTGTCTTTAGTGCGCCCAGGCAGTGATCCAGCTGTGACCATGGGGCTGTGGGGGCCAGCTGGCCTCACGCTGCACTTTGCTCTGAGGCAGAGGGGGTCGTGGTGGGGTCCAGGGCTTCATTCTATAAACCCTACGCTGGTTCTCGGGGAGTCTGCGGCCTCAGGCGCATGGCATGTATTGGTCCCTAGTCAGGTAGGGGGAGGGGTAGGATTTGCATCTGTATAAGATTATGAGGATTGGATGAGCTTTAAAAAATTCTTAATTCAGGGCTTTCCTGGTGGCGCAGTGGTTGGGAGTCCGCCTGCATCGGCAGGGGACGCGGGTTCGTGCCCTGGTCTGGGAGGATCCCACGTGCCGCGGAGCGGCTGGGCCCGTGAGCCATGGCCGCCGGGCCTGCGTGTCCGGAGCCCGTGCTCCGCAACGGGAGAGGCCGCAGCAGTGGGAAGCCCACGTACTGCAAAAAAAAAAATAATAATTCCTAATTCAGATACCCTATGGGCTTATTTAGAATAATGGATGGCATGTCCCCATACATGTGGCGAAGCTTCCTTTCTTATTTTTTAAAGAACTAAGGAATCCTATAAGCCTCCAAAGCACACGTACTTGAGCTCCAGGTACTCGTCAATGCCATACTTGGAGCCCTCTCGCCCAAGGCCAGACTGCTTCACCCCACCGAAAGGGCACTCCACGGAGGAGATCAGTCCTTCGTTAACACCAACCATGCCGACTTCTAGCCGCTCCGCCACCCTCCAGATCTGGGCTGGGTCTTGAGAGTAAAAATAACCTGTCATGGGGATAAAGGACATGGATGTAGAATAGTCATTAAAGCCAACGGTCCCCAACCTTTTTGGCACTGGGGACTGGTTTCAAGGAAGACAATTTCTCCATGGACAGCAGGGGCAGACGGTTCATGCAATAATGCGAGCGGTGGGGGGTGACGGGAACCGGCAGATGAAGCTCCCCTCGCTCGCCCGCCACTCACCACCTGCTGTGTGGCCCAGTTCCTAATGGGCCACGGACCGGTACCGGTCTGTGGCCCTGGGGGTTGGGGACCCCTGATTAAAGACATCATGTCCACAGCTGAGGATGCCATGGATGACCATCTGCCTAGTCATGCGGGCCTGGAACCCTCCCTGCTCCCATGTGGAGCCCCGAGTTGGTCCTGTGCACATCTTCATCTCAAAACCTTTGGAAATCATCTTTCTGCTTCTATTCCACTCTCGCTAGCGCTCTCACCGACTCCTATCAGGACTGTAACAATAATGAACGCAGCTCCTGTGGCCTCCTGTTCAGTGCATCCTGCACACGTCAGTTAGATTATCCACATAATTTTTTTTTTTTTTTTTTTTTTTGCGGTATGCGGGCCTCTCACTGCTGTGGCCTCTGCCGTTGCAGAGCACAGGCTCTGGACGCACAGGCTCAGCGGCCATGGCTCACCGGGCTTAGTTGCTCCGCAGCATGTGGGATCTTCCCGGACCGGGGCACGAACCCGTGTCCCCTGCATCGGCAGGCAGACTCTCAATCACTGTGCCACCAGGGAAGCCCCCACATGATATTTTTAATCCCAAACTTTCCAGTGACTCCTTGTTACCTATAAATAAGGTTGAATTTCTGGTGGGTATTTTGAACTCTCCCTAACGTGGTTTCAGTCAACATTTTCAGCTTTATCTTCCATTATTCCAGGCACCAACCATTGTCACCAAACTTGTCCACCCAATACTCTTTGTCCTATCTTCCTTCACTTCTTAACACCCTTGGTCCCCCTCTGCCTAGAATCTCTCTCCTCCGATCTCTGCACAACCAGAATCCTGCCCATCTTTGATGACCTGGTTCGGAGTGTGGCTTCCTCCATCCATCCCATCGAGAAGGGACGAAAGGAATACCAAACTCAGCGTTACGGAGGCACTTGTGAACACCTTACTCCAGCGTTAGGCTCTTTGAGTAGGGGCAGACTCAGTCTCAGCAGCAGAGTAAGGGACCCTACGGTGTGCACAGCCTTCCTCTGGTTATCAACAGTTCTCTTCCACCCAGAGGGGAAGCTCCAATAGAGCACAGCTGTATCTTGTATCTTTGTCAGCACTTCATTCACTCTGGTTGCTAAATACAGATTGGTTGAGTGCATTTTTTTTTAATGCCTTATTTTTTTTATAAAGTCATTTATTTTTTTATTTATTTTTGGCTGTGTTGGGTCTTCATTGCTGCACATGGGCTTTCTCTAGTTGTGGCAAGCGGGGGCTACTCTTCGTTGCAGTGCGTGGGCTTCTCATTGCAGTGGCTTCTGTTGCGGAGCGTGGGCTCTAGGTGAGTGGGCTTCAGTAGCTGTGGCACGTGGGCTCAGCAGTTGTGGCTCGTGGGCTCAGTAGTTGTGGCGCACAGGCTTAGTTGCTCTGCAGCATGTGGGATCTTCCCGGACTAGGGCTCGTACCCGTGTCCCCTGCATTGGCAGGCAGACTCAACCAGTGCGCCACCAGGGAAGCCCTTGTTGAGTGCATTTATGCACATATAATTTTGTCAGGGTCATAGGGTACATTCTGTGGCCACCTTGTCCATGTCCAAACTGAAAGAACGGCAGCTACTCTGTGAGGCTGCCTCTGCCTGTGCTGCCTTCGCTTCCTTCATCGCCCCTGATGCTCTCTGTGAGGTCGGGCGCTGTCTCTTTTGTTCAGACTTCCAGGAGCCACACAAAATGGGAGGAAAACCCCTTGGAATTTCCAGGCATCGAGCCTCTGGGAACATTATCCACCTGAAACACAGCACTGCTTCTTCTCCCACGACCATACCCAGCTCCAACCGGGGAGCCTCCATCCTGCATCTGGGAATGAGGCAGAAGAACACGGACTTACACAGGCCCACCCCCGCCCCTGGGAAAGCAGTGAAACACATGCTCCAATGAAGTTGCCTTCTCAAAACCCAGGGTGACGTTTAAAAGGCCACCCTGGCATCAGCTGGAGAAGTGATTATGACAGCTACCGAGCGAGGACGGACGCCTACCTGCCAGCCCGACGTCGGCCACGTTAGCGATCGCCACCGCCTCCTCCTCTGTATCAAACCTGCCAAAGTCAAGATGGGTCATCAGCAAAATCCCTAAGGGGAGAGTGAGGAAAACCAGCTGATTTCCTCCCGATTTGTTTCCCAAATAAGGGCGAGGGGTTAATCAGAGCTTTGCAGAGAGTACAGAGGAAAACACCATCACTCGCTGCAACCGTGCAGAGTTCAGGGCTAGCGAGCTCGGATCAACACCAGTTCATCTCCTCTAGAAGATTGGGAGACACACAGGGAACTGTGGAGTATTCAAGATGTCGAACAAAACGCCTTAAGAAAAGGATTACAGCTCTTGCTACCTACTAAGAAGAATAATATGTACCGATCGGACTTCCCTGGTGGCCCAGTGGTTGGGACTCCACGCTTTCACTGCTGTGGCCCCCGGTTCAATCCCTGGTTGGGGAACTGGGATCCCACAAGCCACAAGGCGAGGCCGAAAAAAAAAAAAAATGTACCGACCATAACAACTACTTTAGAAGCAGCCATAATGTAGGAGAAGGAAAACATCCAGAGGCCACTGGGGCCCAGGGCTCTAGTGTCGGCCCCACCACTTATGCTCTGAACAGTGTGACGGTGCTGGGGGTCTGTTCCCCTTGGAAATGAGACTGCTAGCATGGAAGCCTTATGCAGTCTCTTCCAGCTTTATCATCGTTATTTCTGGAACAACATTTCAGAGGCCTTTTTCTGTTGCCCCAGAACTGTAACTGGGGGCAAAACATTGTCCACATCCCAGATCCTCAATTCAGAGGTCCAGCAGCAGTGGCAGCCGGCCAGCCAGCCCTCTGAAGGCACCGGGCAGAGCTGGCGGACCCCAGTCAATGCAAGAGGACGACTGGGAGAGAAGAGAGCGCTCTGGGGGAGGGCAGGTCAAGGAGGGTGACCCCAAGAGAATTATTTCTTCCAAGGATGACCAGCTGTGTCTCCCAGGGCTTGGCTCTCCACCTGTAGAGAGCAAGCCATTCTATCTGCCAGAGAACAGAAAACAGGGCATCACCCATGTCCTCACTGGCCACCTGTGCCTTGAAAATGCAGTCATCAGGACTTCCCTGGTGGCACAGTGGATAAGACTCTGAGCTCCCAATGCAGGGGGCCTGGGTTCGAGCCCTGGTCAGGGAACAAGATCCCATATGCATGCCGCAACTAAGGAGCCTGCCTGCTGCAACTAAGGAGCCCACGTGCCGCAACTAAGGAGCCCTGGAGCCACTAAGACCCAGTGCAACCAAATAAATAAATAAAAAGAAAATGCAGTCATCACATCATCAGTTGTGACATCCTTGAGGATTTTCACCTTTCTGTGCTAACATGGGTGGTGCTCCCACCGCCCTGTGTCCCAGAAGAAGTGTGAGACTAGAGACCCCTAGTAACAACTGTGTCCCCCTCCCTGACCTAATGCTTTATTTACACAACAACACCCATAATGATATCAGGCAATGTGCTAAGTGCTTTACATACATTATGTCATTTAAACCTTAAAACTGTCCTGTGAGGCAGGTACTAGTTTTTATTCCTTTTCCCATCAAGGACCCTGAGGCTCAGAGAAGTTAACTTGTTCAAGGGGACACAGGTATGAAGTAGCAAAGCCTGAATCTACACCCAACTCAACTCCAGAGCCTGCATTCCTAACCACTGCATCCTTTTGGAAAATGTCAAGTTCATACTCCAGATAAAAAAAATTTTATTAAAACAAAGAAGATGAAAGTTCTCCAAGTGGTTCATTTCCCCAATGTCAGATTAATCTATAATTTTTTATTTTATTTTATTTATTTTTTTTTTTTGTGGTACGTGGGCCTCTCACTGTTGTGGCCTCTCCCATTGTGGAGCACAGGCTCCGGATGCACAGGCTCAGCGGCCATGGCTCATGGGCCCAGCCGCTCCATGGCATGTGGGATCTTCCCAGACCGGGGCACGAACCCGTGTCCCCTGCATCGGCAGGCGGACTCTCAACCACTGCGCCACCAGGGAAGCCCTAATCTATAAATTTCATTAGCAGTAGAAGAGAGAGAAATATTTGGAGAAATAATGACCAAGAATTTCCCAGGACTAAACAAACACTTTAGACATTAAAAAAGACATTGGACCTCTGACTGAAAAAGCTCACAGTGTGCCATACCCAAGCTACCATGGTAAAATTTAAGAACGTCAGAGGCCGTGAGGAATTTTAAAAGTCTCTAAAGAGAAAAAGCATATCCCTTCACAGGAGTAAGAACCAGGTATCAGCTTTCTCAGTGACAACCCTGGAAGTAAGTAGACCAAGGTGTGACATCTTCAAAGTGTTGAAGCTAGAATTTTATGCAGGTAAATTATTATTTACTTGTGACTGTGAGATAAAAGGTCACATAAGAACACACAGTTCATTTCCCACAGACACCCTTGAAAGAACTCTTAAAGTATGTACTTCATTACAAAGAAAAATTAGTTCAGCAGAAAGCAAGAGAGCAAAGTAGAGAATTTGGTAAATTTTGTGGTCTAAAGAGGCAATAATAGAAATAAAATTTTTTAAATGTTACATTGAACTTAGTGCTTCCACTGATACAACCCTGCTCTCTACTTCAGCCCATCCCCCACCCAGGCCTCAAACGACACACGAACTGGATTTCTCTCCGGGTTTCCTTTTCCTTTCCTATCCTTTCTCCTGTCTTCCGACCCACTGGATGACCTTACTTGATAACGGGTGCCACGGGCCCAAAAGTCTCTTCCTGAGAGCAGAGCATGTCTCGGGTGACGTTGCTGAGCAGGGTGGGCTGGAAGAAATTTTTTCCAACTTGATGTCGCTTCCCACCTGTCACAACAGTGGCCCCTTTGGAAATGGCATCACTCACATGTTTCTCTACCTGTGTGAAGAGAAAAAGAAGAGCCCTTGAGAAAGGTGGTCGAGGATACTTGGGAAACGTTTAAACTGCAGAAAACTGTAACTGGGTTTCTTTCTTTTTCAAAAAAACTGTAACTGGGTTTCTTTCTTTTTCAAATAGATTAATGTACCCTGGTCCCTTCTGGGTAGAAAGAACCAAATGCACAGAGATACAGAGGCAAGAGGGCACATGGTGTGTACCATGCTGTCTCCTCCCACCTCTGTGATTTTCTCGCTGTTTGCTCTTATAGTTTGTCTAACGGTCTAATACACATATGCCCATGTCTTTGCAGGCCTGATGCTCAGCTGTCTTCCTGGGATTTGTTCTCATCTCCTTCCTGGGTTAGTTCCAGGCTCTTGGATCCCATGTTGTTCTCCTCCCTGGATTTCACTTTCATTTTGTTCTAATACATTCTCGAGTAGTTGTTTCAAAAAAGGTGCACTGAAAATGGTTTACCTTCAGAGTTTTCTGACACTGCATGTCTGGTGTTTTACCTTGCATTGGTTGGTGATGGAATTTGGACCCAAAGTAATTTTCCTTCAGAACGTTGAGTGCAGGTTCGATCCCTGATCAGGGAACTTAGATCCCACATGCCAGCAGAGTAGCCAAAAAAAAAAAAAAAGTCCTCACTCCTTTGTGGGTTTGTGGTAGCTTTTCCCGCCTCTGGAAGCTTCTTGAATATTCTGGTATGTTCCTAACATTCTAAAATTTTAATGAAACATATCTGGGTTTTTCTTTTTATTATTCTACTTGGCAATTGACGAAGTCTTTCAACTTTGAAGAATTGTTATTTTCCCGTAGCTCTGAGAAGTTTTCCTCTAGTATTTGATAATCCTATTTCTTCCATCTCAAGCCTTTCTTTCTAGAGTTCCTATTACTAAAATGGATACACCCGTCACCTCAGATCGATTTCTTTGTGCATTCCTGCCATATTTTTGCTTTAAATTCTAAGAGCTCTCTTCGATTTTGTCTTCCATCTTCATTACTGAGTTTTAAAAAGATTTTGACCCCCATGTTTTCAATTTCTAAAAACATTCTTTCTAGGAGTTCCCTGGTGGCCTAGTGGTTAGGATTCCAGGCCTTCACTGCTGTGGCCCAGGTTCAATCCCTGGTCAGAGAACTGAGATCCCACAAGCTGCACGGCACAGCCAAATAAATAAATAAAAACATTCTTTCTTGTTCTCATTGCTTCATTTTCATAGAACCTGCTTCTGTTTTATAGATGTACTATCTTCTCAGAACTCTTGGAGAATACTACTAGATTCCTGGAAAAAATCCTGTCTGTTCACAGTGTCATCTGCTTTCTTGAGGGTCAACTGTTCTGTTTGCTCTTCTTGACCCTCCTCTGATGTGCTGTGGGTTTTCCTCTAGGGCTGTCAAGATTCTTGGTTGTTCATCTTTCTAATGAAGGATGGGGTTGGTTAATTTCAACGGGTGACATGGGTGACCTCTGCTGTTTCCAGTCTCTTCCCCGAATGAGAGGGACAGCGCCAAGCTTGGGTTTATCTCACTCGGCAGGCTTCACTTTAGGGGTGGCCCCACCCGAGCAAAGGGCAAAGGCAGGGGAGCTCCTCTCTGGCGTGCCTACCCTCACTCTTCACGCTGTACTCCTCGTAGGCTGGCTGCTCTATTTCTTCAGAGGCATTTTCCTGCCCAGAGCAAATGCCTCTGTTACGTTGTATGTGTTGGTGGTGGGTGGAGGGAAATGACCCAGAAAACTGTGCAGAAGTAGAACCAATTAGCACTATTTCTCCCCTCCTCCCATTGCTACCCTCGACCCCAGCCATTTCTAGAAAAGCTCCATCCTAGAAATGACACCCATTTCCTCTGCAGGCTTCCCCTGGGCCTGCCTCATCTGCTTTGACTTTTCTATTAACACGACCCCTGCTACCTTCCAGAAGTTCATCACAATCCATGGTCCACTGGAGTCTCCCCCGGCCTCCCATTCTCAGCGGAATATGCTGTAGGATTTCAGAAGAGAGAAATAGAGCCTTGGGCACAGTCTGCCATCGAGATTCACCCTTTTGAGATCCTCACCCCTTCTAATGCTCTCATAGTTCACTGTCCGCAACAAATCCCCATTAGCTTCCTTTCTATGATTTATATCTCTAAAAATACCTCTATTTAACATACTTAACAAGGCCCCATTCTATTTGACCTCAAATAAAATATGCTCTGTCCTCCTCTTGTCACATTAAAAGTGATGTGCACTTTTTTCCCCCAGGTATTTACCCTGTGACTGTATGTACACTAAAGCCAGCACAATGGATTGTTTTCAGACAAGATGTTTTCTACTAAACTCTCAGAGGGAAAAAAACAAAAACAAACCCTTCAACTGTAGTTGCTTGAGGTCCTAGGAAACAGCGTCCTCTAGAGAGCAATGTCTATACAATCACTTTGGCAAGAATAACAACAAAATCTCCAGACAGGTTTCCCAGTCTGCAAACTAGCAATAACTGGGGCACTAAATGCCTAGGCCCTACTCCAGACAAATTCACCCCCAATCTCCTCAAGTAGGACCGAGGCATCTGTAGTTGTTAAAGGTACTGGGTGGGTTAAGAACCACCCCTCTGGGACTTGAACCATAGCTGGAACAGAGCCAGATTTTCTTTGCTGGCTGAGTGCCCAGGGTCCAAAGTCATCTCAGAAATGCAGGTGGTACCCATGTAAACTTTAACGTATGTTCTTTATCTAGAGGTAGAAAATCCCAAGGCAATAACTAGAAATGTTATCAGCTCTGTAAAACCCCAGTGCTTCCTTGGTGTCTACTGGAGAAGGCACCAGATATGATCTTCAGCCAACCAGACTGCCCACTGGGTCAGGGCAGCCATGGCGGGGCTTGGTCCTCAGGCCCTCAGGAGGCCGACGAACAGCGACTGGGCTGTGCTTCCCACCTGGGTGCTGACCTGGCTCTAACTTGATTTTGGTTCCTCAGGTGACCCAGGAGGCTGGCTGTGCCCCCTTTTTCCCACACACACAACCTCCAGCCTGCATTTTCTACTAAAATTCTATGGAAATCCTTTCTACCAAGTAAGGACTTATCTAGGGAGCATACCGGATGTTTGGTATTATACGAAACCTCCTTGTAAGCAACTCTAAAGAGGATTATTTTTTTAAAACACCTCGCTAGTAGTCAAGATTGTGACATTATTTGAACAAACAAATCCTTGCTTAAGGAGTTTCCCTTTCTTGCCATCTCTAAATCTTAAACATGATTTCTGTGGCTCTACATCTCCTGCCAGGATGTTTTCGCCAAGGATTCTTCTGCAAGGGCGTTTTGTTTTCAGTGCCAGCCAGCAGTTCAGCTGAAACATAAACGATCTCAAAAACAAAGCCTTTTTCCTTTCCTTTCCTTTCCTTTTAGGTGTTCCAGAAATTAAAGAACTTTGTATTTCAGGATCTTAATTTCTGAGGCAGCAGGAGATAGAATTAGCACCACTGGAAAAGAAAATTTAGGGAGGGCGGTAGGAGAACAGAAGTGACAGATCTCATGGGGACTCAGTGAAATGATGGAGCTGGAAAAGCTTATAACCACGTGGTGCCACTCAGTTTATACAAATTGGCAGAAACTCATTTGTTTTCCCGATTTCTCCATTGTTTGCAAAACCGCCTTGCTGGCCACCTTACCAGTGGTTTTGCTAGTTACGCTTCTGATACTGAAACCATGACATTGAACAGATGATAAAACGAACTTACCTTTTCTACAGCTTTCTCATTAATTAACGGGCCTTGAGTAGTTTTCTCCTCAAATCCATTACCCACATGCAGGTTTGTTTTCATTGCCTCGGCAAATTTTTTCACAAAGGAATCATGGATACCCCTTTGCACCAAGAAACGGTTTGAGCAAACACAAGTCTAGACAAAAAGAAACAAACTCACACTGACAGTTTGTTGGAAGCTACTGACCCAACCAATAACCGTGTGACTGCTGCTACCTCTGAATGTGAATGCACTTTCCCAGGTGATTCCCGTCCTGTGTTCTACCTGCTGTGTTCCTCCCCACGTGGGCTTGGCCCTAAAGACAAACGTGCTGAGTGCATGGACTTCTCCAAGCCCCTCTACAGCCGCCACCTCTCTGTGGTTAAACAGGTAAGCGAGGATAAATATCTGTGCGCAAAAAACCAAAAAGCCACCTAACCCAAGTTTTTTCGAACGGCTCCTATTGGAAAGAATAAAACCAACGCAAGAAACTAACTCCCTGAGACAGTGATGCTGCAGTGACAGCAGAGCTAGAAGGAAAGGGATTCAAAGGCTAACTTACATCCACTAGCTTATTAAACCTTTCAATTGCTTGGCGGAATCCGAGATTTTGAAAATGGACGCAAGACCATTCTTCCGTGTCAGCCTAAATTATTGAAAACCCCTTTGCTTATTATTTTTTCTAATTAGACCTAATATTTAAAAATTATGTAATATAAACACATTACAGGAAATGTAGTTACCCTTGATACGTTTTCTTCTTGGCTTTTTCGTTGTTTTTTTTTTTTGTCTTTTTTCTTAATCGTGTATTTTTCTAATAGAAACAAGCCTATAGATAATTTTGTATCCTATTTATTGGCTTAAAGCAATACACCCCAAAGTTGTAACTTTATAAGTGTAACTCTGAAGGTTACATACCTTGCCATTTTGTGTTTCTAAAAGGAAACATGCCTGTTTCCGAAACAACAAAGCTTATTAGGTTATGTGAAAGGAGAAAAATTAATTACCAAAGGCCAAAACAAGGATGAAAGCTATTTAATATGGAATATTGTACAACATTTCACCTTTTTTTCCCCCAGATAACCTTTCAGGAGTTATCATTCCATTTCTGGAATGCATTTAAAACTGCTTAGTGATGGTATTCCAAGACAAAGTGCTTAAGAATATTGTATAAGAAGCCAGGATCCTGGCAACAGCTTGGATAGAAGTTGGGAGACTGGGCCCTAGGTTCACAGTCCCAGATCCTGAACCCAAGGATGTATGACTTCAAGTCAATTAGTCTTTCTAGAGTTTCATGTCTTCAGCTGTAAAATGCAAGGTTTGTGTCAGATACCTGGGAAGTTCCCTGCTAGATCTAATGCTCCAGGATTCCCTACAAGGGGTGAGCTCAGGCCACCACTCTCCCAAGGACAACCTGGACCCTCCTTGGGCCACTGTAGTGTGTGCAGCCCTGTAGTGGGTGCCTGTCATGCCCCCTCCATCTCGGGAAGAATGAGATCCAGGCAGCAGGGTTTTGAGTTTTTAAAGGCTCCATCTCAACATTTTCCTCCCTTCTTTTCCTTAAGACTGTGGGCCTCAGACCCTAGGTGTTCAGGCTATTTTGTGTCTGAGGAGATGTTTAAACCTGTTCAGCAGAGAAAAGCCCAGTGAGGTAAAACTATGAAAATAACCAGATTCAAAGAGGAGATGAACGATGAGATGAGAGAATGATTTGATTAAAAGGCATCTGCTGTTCAGGAAATGCCTTGAAGCCAGGGATAATACCTTATTTCTCTTTGGACCCTCTGAGCCTAGCAGAGTCCCAAGCAAAGAGGGGGCACTTAACTAAACACCTGATGAAAGAGGGCGTGGACAAAGAATGAGGGGAGTGTCGTCCTAGGAGGTGAGGAAGGGGGTAGGATCTGTAAAACACACAACCCAGAAAAATGCCCTGGGACTCACCTGTCCAGAGTTCCTAAATTTAGATGCCATGGCCCCAGCGACAGCCTGGTCAACATTGGCACTGTCAAACACGATGAATGGGGCATGGCCGCCCAGCTCCATGGACACCCTTTTCACAGAGTTTGCTGCATGATGCAACAGGACCTGGGAGCAGATGAGAGGATGCTGTGAGCACCGGATCAACTACATGGCCCGGTAAGCCTTTGTTTCAAAAAATTGCCCAGTAGTGGAAAAAGCCAGGTGCACAGTCGTGTACACGAGATGACAGTTTGCATAAGAAAAGGGGAAAATAAGAATCTATATGTATTCATATTTGCTTGTATTTGGTAAAGAAACACAAGGAAGATAAAAAAACTAAAAATTATTTATAAAAGGGAGGAAATCAGGGATAGGGGTGAGGGTGAAACCTCTGAATATAACCATGTTTATACTGTCCCGGTTTTTGAACCATGTCAATGTATGACCTATTAAAAATTATGATAAATTTGTTATGATAAACATAAAAAATTATGATAAAAATTATAAAATTATCGTATTATAGAGATATGCTAATAAAATCACCCATAACCCCATAACCCATAGCTTACCACTGATAAAATCTTAAGGTATATCCGTCCAGAATTTGGCTACACACACCAGGGACATCTGCCTTTTTTTTTTTTTTTTTTTTTTAAAAGAAAACAGGATGGTAGAGTTACACAGCTTTATAACCTGCTTTATCTTCCCAATTAGTCATATATCTGGAACATCATAACATGCTCACAACACTTTAAACACACCCATATCAGCGTGTGTTTCTAGAACATCCTTTAGCTGCTTGCCTAGTATTCCACTGCAGAGCTACTCATTCATTTATTTATTCAGCCCCCATCTGTTGGAAATTTAAGTTGCTTCCAATTCCTTGCTATTAAAACAACACTGCAGTTACTCCCTCAGTATAAATAGAAGTAGAATCACTAGCTCAATGCACAACTGTAAGGCTTTTGTTTGTTTGTTTGTGTTTTTTTTGCGGTACGCGGGCCTCTCACTGTCGTGGCCTCTCCCGTTGCAGAGCACAGGCTCCGGACGCGCAGGCTCAGCGGCCATGGCTCACGGGCCCAGCCGCTCCGCGGCATGTGGAATCTTCCAGGACCGGGGCACAAACCCGTGTCCCCTGCATTGGCAGGCGGACTCTCAACCACTGCGCCACCAGGGAAGCCCCTGTAAGGCTTTTTGATACATATAACTATTAGGCTTTAAATATCCAGGAAGAGATTCTTACGGCCTAGGAAAGCTGCCCAGGGATGTTTGCTTTATTACACGATAGTAGGTCTTTATCCAACCACAGCTATGAGAACGGTGGACCCACTTGGATGGTTCAAGTGAAACGAACAGTGGTCACAAGCCCAAGGTCACTCCAGGACTGGTCCCTGTGATACACAGCTGTGGGTTTTATGATAGGTCTCTTAGTCAAAATTCAGAAAAGCTGGAAAATTGCTTCAGTGCTGGTACTTCTCTATATGCCCAGATGTTAAGATTCCAGCAATGAACTAGTAAAAACGGTCTTCTCAATGAAATGTTACTATTCAACAAAGTAGTACAAGTTTTAAGATTAAACCTATTTTTTTTTAAAATTTATTTTATTGATGTATAGTTGATTTACAACGTTATTTGTTTCTGCTGTACAGCAAAGTGATCCAGTTATATATACATATTTATGTGTATGTGTGTGTATATACTTTTTCATCATGGTTTATCACAGGATACTGAATAGTTCCCTGTGCTATGCAGGAGGACCTTATTGTTTATCCAGTCTATATATAATAGTTTGCATCTGCTAATCCCAACCTCCCACTCCATCCCTCCCTCAGCCCCCCTCCCCCTTGGCAACCACAAGTCTGTTCTCTATGTCTGTGGGTCTGTTTCTGTTTCGTAGATAAGTTCATCTTTTAGATTCCACGTGTAAGCAATGTCATATGGTATTTGTCTTTATCTTTCTGACTTCACTTAGTATGATGATCTCTAGGTCCAACCATATTGCTGCAAATGGCATTATTTCATTCTTTTTTATGACTGAGTAGTATTCCACTGTATATACATACCACACCACACCTTCTTTATCCGTTTATCTGTTGATGGACATTTAGGTTACTTCCACGTCTTGGCTACTGTAAATAGTACTGCTATGGACATAGGGGTGCATGTTATCTTTCCGAATTATAGTTTTGTCTGGATATATGCCCAGGGGTGAGATTGTTGGATCATATGGCAACTCTATTGGATCATAGTTTTTTGAGGAACCTTCATACTGTTTTCCATAGTGGCTGCACCAGTTTACACTCCTACCAACAGTGTAGGAGGGTTCCCTTTTCTCCATACCCTCTCCAGCATTTATCTGTAGACTTTTTAATGATGGCCATTCTGACCGGTGTGAGTAAACCTATTTCTTTATTTCCTTCTGAATTTTTAAGAACTGCTCTCTGCCAGGCCACTGATTTTTCTGACTCTGCTCGCTTTTGGGTCGCTTGCCTCCACCTGTGTCCTCTGACTGCGTCTTCTTGCTACTCAGTGCGCATGATGAGGGCTTGAACCTGCCTCTGACCTTCATGACCCCTGTGGCACTGCCTGCAGTCCTGCTACGTCTTAAGGAATCCTTTCTGCTCCAGTTCCCCCTGCTGACCTTCTCAGGATCTCAGCTTTCAAAGCCCTAGAAAGGGAACGTGAGTGCCCAGCTCATCTCTCTATGGCCAGGTCACTCGTCCTAGGTCACTGGCCAGCCTATGAATCTGTTTTCCTCGGGTCAAATGACCACTCATGGTTGAATTCTCTGTGGGGGAACAGATGAGGTATCATGTGCTATAAAGCATGGCTGCTGTCCCCGCAGCAGGCCCCAGGAGGGGTGGTCCCCCTGGAAGGAGTGAGGGCAGGGCAGCATCTCCAGAACAGGCTGACGGAATGGGGTTCAGTAGAGGCAAGATTCTATGTTGCAAGATCAGGAGCTCAGCCACTGATCCTCTGCAAAGATCAGCTCAGAAGAGGCCCCTGGCTATTCCTTTATCAGTGATTCCTATCACTCTTCCCTTTAAACCACTTGAAGTGAATCACTGTCCTGCGTAAATAATTTAAGAGGCACAGTTGGGCTTGGCAGGAACATGGTCGACATTTTCCTTCGGGGTCTATCCAATGGGGATAGTTCACTGAGCAAAGCGAGGTTGAGTAATGAGTGGCTGGCCTTTGTCCAGCATCTGAGAATTTCTCTGGCTTCAATGGCAAAGGTTTACCACCTTTTTCCCAGGCCTCTCTCTTTTTCTCTAACTATTGATATCTTGAAACCCTCTGAGAGTAAGTTTGCTCTGCAAGATCCATTGATCAGGGTGGTAGCAGTTTACGGATCTAAAAATTCCTGCTTCTGGAATGAATGGCAGGCTTCCCAAGTGTGCGTTTATGGCATGACAAATGTGGTTATGGTTGGGAGCTACTAAAATTGCTTTATTCTCTCCCGTTTCTCATGGTGTCAAAAAATGACCAGTTTCACCAAAACTTTCAGATTAGATTTATATTATTTTTATCTGGTATATGTTTATGTACGTCTCTAGCATGAGTGTGTGTGTGTGTATATATAAATACTAGCAGAAAAAAGTATACTATCTGGAGAGAAACACCATAAATAAGAACTTTTGTTCTCCTCTGCTTTTCTTCTCTTTTGAACATTTAAAAGGATAAGTAAAAATGCACTCACAGGCACACAAATGAAGTTTTCGGGAAAGAACTTTTCAACATATGAGGGGGGGAAAAAAATGAAAAAAAAAAAGACCTTTCTATTTCTGTAAGCACCTTTATACTAAACACAATTTTTGTTCAATTCTAAGACATCCATTTCTTTAATTCTAGATTATGAAAGAAACATGCATTCCAGAGTTATGGGAATTCCAAAGTTATGGACAACTTTCAGCTACTTCACATGCAACAAATAATGGGAACCTTGTCTACCCCTAAACTTTCAGTTTTGTCAAATAGAAACCTAGGTCATGTCACAATAAGGAACAGCATCCAGATATCTCCAGAAAATGACTGTACGTTACATTATGGGACAGAGCTTTTAACACTGCCAGAAATCTTCCTACAAATAGTGATCAAGATGAAATAGTATTTTGATACTCTATAAAGACAAGATATTAGAATGCCATTTGGTTTTTTGAGACTTGAGTCACATACCTTTCCAGTGGCTGTTGAACCAGTAAAGGAAATTTTAGACACTAGGGGATCCGTGCAAAGTGCTTCCCCTACTTCCTTGGCCTTCTTTTGAGAGCAGGGAATAACGTTGTATACACCCGGAGGAATTCCAGCCTGGTCTGCAAGCTGTAAAGAGAAACAGCAAACGTGGCAGCAAATGACCAAACTGGAAAAACAGAAAAGAGAAATAAATAGATGTTTTAATCTAAAAAGTAATGGCAAAAAAAAAAAAACTAGGCTGACTTTAGGGACAGAATATATTTGGAACTGAAATAAGATTCTTAATAGTGCTAATGTGATATTAATATGAATGTGTTGTTGGAAGTTTCTGTATGAATTTAAGCACTATTTTATTGTGTGTGTGTGTGTGAGAGAGAGAATACATATATGTATATTTCCTAGCCCTGACACTAAAAGGCCTAGAAACAATGACCAACTAGTAGCAATGACCACCCCTAGTGCCCCAAATGTAGTCTTAAAATAGAATTTCCTACCAGAAGAAATAAGGGCTTTCTGCAAAAATGGTTAATCCCAGGTCTGAGGCAAGAAATATATATAATAAGTCTAAAATATCTTGTCATACTAGCAAGGAAGGTCTCAAAAACTAAGAGTTATGTTAAAAGATAAAAGAGACAACTCGAAGAGGCTGCCATTGGCCAAAAATGGGGGCAATCTGAGCTTCATCAAGGATAATAACCACAGCAAACTGAAACTCATCAAATACGTTAAAATCTACTAGCACATAATGCTACTAACAAACTAATTGGGAGCCTTAGGCAGATGACAGGAATAGATGCATTAATTTGGAAAACTGTAAATAAAAAGAAAGAATCAAACATATTGTCTTTCCTGTGGGAATTTACCATTGGGTAACCACACAGGAGATGATGGGTAGCTTTGATTTATAGAAGTGGTCTGGTGAATAAATGAAAGAAAAAGGAAAGAATTCAAATATCAACCATTTTTGCACTCCTAATGAATTAACAGACTGAGTGGCATTGCACAGCAATGTCTGCAAATATGAAAACGGAGACACCCAGACATTACTCGCCTCCTGACAAAAGGACACAAAATGGGATCGAACCCAAATCTGAGGAAGCGTCTGGATGCAGCTGCCAATCTGTGGAAAGTGCAGCAGACAGAGGAACCCAGTGCATGGTGTGCCATCTGCAAAGCCCCAGACTATGGGGAACTCTACCAGTCAAATGTCTCGCTTCTTCAAAAGATAAATTGTAAGGGACAGAAAAGGATGAAGGGGAATGTGTACAACAGGAGAAACTCATCAAACATTCCCAATTTTTAAAAAGTGAAGGCCACTGCAGGAAGCCTGAATTTTACTCTAAGAGACATGAGAAGCTATTAGAGGGTTTTAAACAGAAGAACAAGATATGACGCAGATTGAGCTGGAGAAGGGAACGGTAAATAAGAGGTCCCTGAATCTGAGAAACGCCCATATTTTAGTTACATTACTATGACTTAATAAAAATGATGGCTAGATATCATTTTTAGGGTAGGCTAAACAATACATTGCCTACAGATGACAGAAAACTCCCCCATCTGTTATTTTTTCTATAAAGAACATCATCTGGGTTAAAATAATGGCTAGTGAATTAAAACACAACACCATCAAACAGGAGACGCAGGCAAAGAAGGTTTCGAAAGTCTTTCCTTCCATCCCAGATAACATCCTTTTTTTGGACTCTGTGCAGAGAGGCTCACCACGGCCAAGGCCAGGGCAGAGAAGGGCGTGTCCTCGGCAGGTTTCACCACTACCGTGCAGCCTGCGGCCAGGGCGGCCCCCACCTTCCTCGTGATCATGGCGCTGGGGAAATTCCACTGGATCAGAAGAGAGAGGAGGTAAGTGAGAGGAAGGACTGCCCCCTGGTCCAAAGGCAGGCAGGTTGGGAAGTCAGCCAGCAAATTCCAGTGCACAACTGCCTGGCAGAGCTGTTCTTGCACAGATGAGCTCTCAGAACACCTGGTACCTGCTGACTGCAGGGACTGGGGAGACAAAGGCTCGTAGAGACAGGAAACATCGTCAGTGTTTAAAACAGTACAAAATCATCTACACTGGGGACAGCCAACTTTCTCTGTAAGGAGCCGAGTAGTAAAAATTTTAGGCGTTGTGGGATGTCCAGTTTCTGTCACAAGGACTCAAGACCACAGACAATACAGTATGTATATGAATAGGCGTGGCTCTGTCCCAATAAAACTTTATTTACAAACACAGGCAGCAGGCTGGATTTGGCCTGAGGGCATAGTTTGCTGACCCTGTGGGGGGAAAATATTAGCAAAGGTGATTTTGAAAATGGTAGATGATATATTACTTTCCTCTCTCTATAGATAGCTCTCTGTACACATCTGTGTATCTATAGTAACAATGTTTTATTTCAGCAAAAACTCATATAGTGCTTATTCTGTCCCAGGCACTGTTCTAAGCACTTTTAAACTATAATTAATTAAATCCTCATCACAACCCAATGAGGTTGGTATTTTTCTCCTCATTTGCGGGTTTGGACAAAGTGAGACAGAGCAGTTAAGTAATTTGCTCAAGGTCACACAGCTAGTGGAGAGTCGGCTCTGAGTCAAACCTGGTCAGTCTAGGCAGTGAGGGAGGCAGTTCTCTGTAACTATGGTGAGCGGGGAAAGATACGCAGTCTTGAGACCAGCTGGCAGACACTGTAGAGAAGTTAATATGGGATCTAGAAGGTGGACCCAAGAAAGGCAGTTCATGTAGAGAAAGCTGGGTGCCCCACAAGTATACTGCAACCCTATCCAGGCAGACACAATATCTTATTTTTTAGCCTTTTTACTTTCAGAACCTGGCCCAGTGCCTGCTGGTAGATACATAAATACTTTGCTGTTGATGATAACCATAAATTAAGCATAAAATTTTCTGAAAACTATAGCACATTTAAAAATTGTCAAATCTTAAGTCTTTTTAAAAAATGATAAATACCAAAGATCTTTTTAGATGTACTAGGCAATGCCAAGAAGAAGCCTTTATGCTAAGTTAGAGGAGCCCCTGGGTCCTCCAGGGGGTCAGTCCCCTTCTGCAGGCATTAGAAGTGCCCCCTGGCCACCACCACACATCTCACACCTATCACAGAGGACCAGGAAACACACCTCCACATGCAGCAATGGCATCCGGAAGCCAAGAACAGGTGACAGAGCTAACAGGATGAGCACACCTGCTCAAACCCCACTCAACCTCCTCCCCTAGGATCTTGCAGATCCTGCCACATACTGGAGTGATGACTGCGGCCACACCGAGGGGCTGCTTGAGGACCAGGGCCCGTTTTTCTTTTGCTGGGGTGTAGATAATGTCTCCGTAAACGCGGCGGGCTTCCTCTGAAAACCACTCCAGGAAATTTGCAGAATAGAGAATTTCTCCCTGTGCCTCCTTTAGTGGCTTTCCCTAAATTAAATCAGAAAAGGACACACTCATTACCTTCTAATAACGAAAGCATGATTCTGAGTTTCTAAATTCTTCAAGGATGCAAGCAGAGCAGGAAAGTCTCCCGTTACAAAACCCACAGGGTAGTTGAGAAATTTCTAATGAGAAATGGAATATTTCCTGCCACATCAGTAAACAAAGGATGTCACAGTCATCAGCGATTTGCAGCCCCAATGTGAGCTGGTGAGCCCTGAGTGAACTCAGGATGTGAAAACACAGGATACTGGCCCCAGAGAGCTGAGGTGCATATCAAAGGAATGATTTCAGTGAGCCCAGAATCTTGCATCTTCCCATACAAAGGAAAGCGCTAAATTCCTTAACTTGGGATCTGGTTTTCTTTACAATAATCCTTTGACATTCAGACTACCTGCTCTTTGTTGCAAAACTTCTGTATAACCTGGCTCTGCACTTCACCTCCTCAGAGCAGTTCTCTCAGGGTTACTTGAGATGCTGCCTCCCGGGCTTGAGGTCCTAGAAATTCCCGCCGAATAAAACAAAACTCTCAACTTTTAGGTTGTGAATACATTTTAAGTCAACACTAACCTCAGTGTGAGTCTTAGAAAGCAGAATCACAAATGGTGATGGAAGGAAGCCTGCCAGGCTGATAGGAATTGAGTAGGATAATCAAATAGCTTAGAAACCCCATTAGGGGACTGTGGATAGAGAGGGGACTTTAGGAGACCACAGTAAGGTTAATGATCACTCAAGAAAGTAATGGGAAAATCCTGAAACAATGTGGGCTTGCTTGACTCATAAAGCCCAACAAGTCGCTTAGCATCAAAGCCAGATTGGCTTGCTTAACAAAATCAAGCTAACTTGATTAGCAACAAAATCATACAACAGAAGCATGAGACATGCCCCAATACAATAAAACAATGGTGGCATGAGACCTACAACCTGTCGGTGGTGTCATCAAGTTAATGACCCCCCAGCACATGCTCTGTGCACACACAAAAATCATTTATGGAAAGGACATTTCAAAGTGAAAGACCCTCATTGTAGTGAGACCTGAAATAATTTTTCCAAAGTGCCATGACAGTCCTGGCCTGACCATGTAGGGACAAAAAACCCAAAGTGGAGGCGGAGCCGATGACAGAAACGTGATACCTACTCAAGAAAGACAAAGAAGGTCTTCTCCTCCACCCCTCTCTTCCTCTGATTATAAAAATGTAACCCACTAAGTACTTGGGGCAGCGCAATGCTTGCCTGCCCGCTTGTAAGCCTCACGAGCAACCTATTCTAATAAATCATTTTTAAAAAACTAAATTTATATATTTATTTATTTATGGTTGTGCTGGGTCTTTGCTGCTGCACACCGGCTTTCTCTAGTTGAGGCGAGCGGGGGCTACTCTTTGTTGCGGTGCATGGGCTTCTCATTGCGGTGGCTTCTCCTGTTGCAGAGCACAGGCTCTATGCACACGGGCTTCAGTAGTTGTGGCACGGGGGCTCAGTAGTTGTGGTTCGTGGGCTCTAGAGTGCAGGCTCAGTAGTTGTGGCACACGGGGTTAGTTGCTTCGCGGCATGTGGGATCTTCCCGGACCAGGGCTCGAACCCATGTCCCCGGCATTGGCAGGCGGATTCTTAACCACTGCGCCACCAGGGAAGTCCTAAATCACTTCTTATCTATCACTTTGCCTCTCGTTGAATTGTTGTTTCTGCACTGAGACATAAAGGACCAGGCTTCTTGGAGGCCCCCGAAATGACACCTAACAGTTTCAAGACCGCCCTGAGCCACAGTCATCATTTGCATTCTCAATATGTTTACAATTAGGAGGAGGCACCTAGAACTACCTCTTCAATTTCTTTTCCTTCTAACATCTTCTAAATGTTGTGAACGGTGGAAAGTAATTTATTAGAGCAACCAAAAAACTGGTACCTTTGAAAATGTACAAAAACAACATGAAAAATCAATCAAAGCAATCACATGCTAAAAACCTGGAATGGTGGAAAAGCAGTATTCACGCAGTCCCACTCAAAATCTATTTCTTGCATGTTATTAAATAGGCGTGCCTGACTTAATTTTGTGCCCAAAATAAGAATTAGCTGATATCTGATCGTTAGGCAAGGAATTCACGTTTTCTTTAGCTACAGCACTGAAGTTAGAGGCTTCCCCACACTTCGGTCTAAGAACTCCTGGACAATTTCTTCAGGTAGTAAGTTAGCGTCTGAACTTACACTTTCAGCTGTGATTATCTTGGCAAGGTCATCCTTATTTTGTATCATTAAGTCGTACCATTTCCGAAGTAAAGAACTCCTCTCCTGAAAAAGAATTGAAAAATAGTAAAATGCCAAGTGTAAGAGAGACTATTAAATAATCTTCAGTTTCCTAAAATATTTGCTGTGTGGTCTCATTCTTGGGGAGACATACATTGACCTTTTTTTTAAATTGAGGTATAATTGACACACATTATATTTGTTTCAGGTGTACAGATCTTTCTTTGATAAGTGATAACAAAGATCCAATTTTCAAGTTGCATCTAACAAGGTGTGCGGAGTCATAAATTGTGAGAGAGAAAAAAGTTCTGTGGAACAGCTGTTATTATTTATGGTAAATATGAATAACTTGAATTTCACCACACTAAGGTATAGTTCCTTTAAAAAAAAAGGTATGTTTAATTGCAGTGAAATACACTAAAATTTGCCATCTTAATCATTTTTAAGTATGCAGTTCAGTGGCATTAAGCACATTCACAGTGTTGTACAACAGTCACCACCATCCATCTCCAGAATGCTTTTCGTCTTACAGAACGGAGACTCTGTACCTGTTAGACAATAACTCTCCACTCCCCGCAGCCTCTGACAAGCACGATTCTACTTTCTGCCTCTGTGAATTGGACTGCTCTAGGTACCTTATATAGGTAGAATCATACAGCCTTTGTCCCATGACTGACTTATTTCACTCAACACAATGTCCTCAAGTATAGTTCTTTATTTTAACGACTCACTGGCTAGTTAAATTTGTCCCACAGACTGGGGTGGAGGTTGCAGGGTGTGTAAGGCATCTGAAGGGGTTTTGCACACTTAAGAAGAGGGCCCAGGCACAACACCGCGGATGCCCTTGATGCCACTGAATGGTACACTTGCAAATGGCTAAAATGGTAAGTTTTATGTTATGTACATTTTATCAGTTTTTTAAAATTTCCAAAGATAAAAGGATGAATGAATAAATTGGATTATTAAGTATATTATGGAAGAAATGGTTTCTTAAAAAAATTTTTTTTAGGGCTTCCCTGGTGGCGCAGTGGTTGAGAGTCCACCTGCCGATGCAGGGGACACGGGTTCGTGCCCCGGTCCGGGAAGATCCCACATGCCGTGGAGTGGCTGGGCCCGTGAGCCATGGCCGCTGAGCCTGCGCGTCCGGAGCCTGTGCTCCGCAACGGGAGAGGCCACAACAGTGAGAGGCCCGCGTACCGCAAAAAAAGAAAAAAAAAAATTTTTAAAAAGGAACTCATATAAAACCATAAAAAAAAAAAGAGGGCCCAGAGAATCCAGGTCAACCAGGCCACACAGAGGTGCCCCGAAGGAAGATGTGCCCCCGAGCTCTGGCTTCCTGCATCCAAACAGGTGTATCCGAAGCAAAGGAGAATCTTTGGTTTATTCCTACCTGCCTGAAAGGTTGCCCACAGCAACGAGCAAACATTGTTTGTGATTCTGTCATCCTAATCCATCCAGCAGGTGTTAAGATTTAAATTATTTTCTCATTCCACTCATGAGCAGGGAGCCTGAGACTGTAAGCACCACTAACCATCTTTCTCTGGGTTCTTTCCCTTCCCTATTTTGGATAAGCTAATAAGCTTCGTTATCTTAGCTCTCAAGGGTGTCATTGAGATGAAGTCTTCTGAATCTCCAACCCCCAGAGAACAGGCATTGACAGCTCTTAAAACAGTATTACTGCAGTAATTTCACCCTCGCTCTGTGCAACACTGGTTAAGAATCTGATGACTGTGGGCCTGTGTGCTGTGACTTATTCTGGGTAAGAAAGGAAAGACTAAAATCTAGGAGGCCTGGATTAAAGAAAAAAAAGAAATATGAGTAAATGGCCTGCAAGGAATAGAGCACCACACAGAGTCTGAGAGAGAATGAGAGAAGAACACGGAAAGCATGAGAACGGTAAGAATAAAAAGCAGATTCTGCTTGCTGGCAGAAAACCCAGGGTCCAGTCTGAACACAGAAACCAGCAGAGGCCACAAATTGCCCTCAGTGTGCGCGGCCCGTGTTACGGGTTAGTTGCACCTGCCCAAAAATGGCGTGTTGGAGTCCCAATTCCCAGCACCTCAGAGATGGGGAGATGGGGTCTTGACAGAGGTCATCCAGTTAAGACAAGGTCATCGGGATGGGCCCTAACCCACTATGACTGATGTCCTTATAAAAAGGGGAAATTTGGACAAGACAGAAGCACGCACAGAGGGAAGATGACACAGAGAGACACAGGGAGAAGATGGCCGTCTATAAGCCGAGGAGAGAGACTTGGAACCGTTCCTTCCCTCGGAGCCCTCAGAAGGAACCAACCCTGCCGACACCTTGATTTCAGGCTTCTTGCCTCCGGAACTGAGGTGACACGTTTCTGTGGTTTAAACCACCAAGTCTGTGGTACTCTGTGGCGCCAGCCCCAGGAAGCGGCTCCAGCCTTTGTAAGGAGCTGAGTAAGTGTGCAGGCCTCAGACAGGGCGCTGGGGAGGCTGGTGGTGGATGGAGTAACGTGGGGCTCAAATCCCAGACCCTCCACTTGAGCGACAGTGAAGTTACATAACCAGGAGCCTCTGTAAGCCAGTTTCCTCGTGCACAGCATGGCTCGACTGTCTAACTCAGAGGGCCATTGAAAGGACTAAACAAAATGCACCTGGAGCACCAAGAACAGTACTCAGCTGTGGAAGGCGCAACAACAGCCCTCAAAGAGGGCCTCAGCCTAATCCCTGGAACCTGTGAACATATTACTTTACAAGGCAGAAGGGATTCTGCCGACGTGATTAAGTTAAGGACCTTACAGTAAGGAGATGATCCTGAATTACCCAGGTGGGCCCAGTGTAACCAACAAGGATGTCTATAAGAGGGAGAGAGGCGGGGCAGAGGCAGTGTGGGAGGTGTGATACAGAAGGAGAGGTTGGAGTGCTCTGGGGCCACAGACCATAGACTACGGGCGGCTTCTAGGAGCTGGAAAAAGCAAGGAAAGCCCTAGAGTTCCTGAAGGAATGCAGCCCTGCAAACCCGTTTTGGACTTCTGACCTCCAGAACTGTAAGAGTAAGTTTGTGTTGTTGCGTTTTAAGTCCCTGAGTTTGGGGTGATTCGTTACAGCAGGCCACAAGGAAGTAATGCATCAGCTTATAAGGCGGTCAGTAAACGCGTCAGTAACCATCTTTCCCTGAACTCCTCTAGGAGTTCACAAGGTGGAGAAAGGAGGTCATAAAACGCGTGAAAAGAAAGACGTGAAGTAATGCAAAAGATGTCAAGGGGAAGGGCGAGACAAGGGTACGGGCCACGCTACGGGTTCGGGGGAGACTGACGGAAGGCTGTGTGGTCCAATGGACGCCATGGCAGACATGATACACGAGCCAGACCCCAGGAATGGCGGGACGTGAGTGGGCCTAGAGAGGAAAGCAGAAGATAGCTGGGGGGCAGCGGGGCGAGCAGCAGAGGCCTCGGGGCAAGAAAGCTGCCTTACAAGCTGCGTTTGCGCCCCACCGTCCAAGCTGCAGAGGTGGACCCAGCTTCCTTAGAAAGCCAAACCCACCACTTCCTTAGTAAGACGCTCCAAGGTCCTTTCAAGAAGCCCCACGGAAGACCACCTGACTGCACCTGGAAGAGCGCCAGGGCACTGTAACACCCCTACATGGCAGGCTTGAGGCTGCGGGCCCTGGTGGGGCTCCAAAACAACGGCAGAGGGCCCAGGGCTCAGCCTCGATGCCCACCCTTCCTGTAAGCTCGCCATTCCCACAGCTGTAAGTGCATACGCGTGTTGTCTCTAGCTCAGGCCTCCCTCTCCTGACTCACGTAGCCAACATCCTACTTAACACCCTCACTTGGTGACTAACAACATCTCAGACTCAGTGTGTCCAAAGCTGAGCTCCGATGTCTCGCCCCAATGCTGCTCCTCTAACCCCCTTCCCGTCTCTGGACAGTTACTCCTTCCTTCCAGTGGCTCTGGCCAGAAGCCCTGGGGTCATCATTCCATCCTGTCTTTCTCTCACACCTCATCTGTAATAATCTGTCGGGGAATCCAGTTGCCTCTACCTTCAGAATATATCCTTGATCAGAACACTGCTCACCGCCTGAACGGCTCCCACCCTAGTGCAGGCCCATCAGCATCTCCCACAGGAGTCACTGGCACAGCCTCCTAGCCCTCTGGGCTTCCACCATTGGCCCCCCTTCAGTCTATTCTCAGCACTGGGAATAGACTGAAACCCTTTGAAATGGAGCCCCGCCTCACTCGCAGTAAAACCCCACTCAGTCCTTAAAATAGCTCCACAGCCCACTGGATCCAGCACCCTCCTCCTAGGACTCTCCCCCCACGTTAGTCCCCTCAGCACACGGGCCTCCTTGCTGATCTACACCTGTGTCAGGCATGCCCCTGACTCAGGATTTTTGCTCCAGCTGAATTCCCTCACCTCCTTTGGTCTTTGCATCTCATGTCCTCAATGAGGCCTACCCTGATGTTATAGGGTCCCCCTCCGCAATTCATATAACCCCCCAGTACCTCAGAATGTGACTGCATTTGGAGATAGGGTCTTGAAAGAGTTTTTTTTGTTTTTTGCGGCATGCGGGCCTCTCACTGTTGTGGCCTCTCCCGTTACGGAGCACAGGCTCCGGACGCGCAGGCTCAGCGGCCATGGCTCATGGGCCCAGCCGCTCCACAGCATGTGGGATCTTCCCGGACCGGGGCACGAACTCGCGTCCCCTGCATTGGCAGGCGGACTCTCAACCATCGCGCCGCCAGGGAAGCCTGAAAGAGGTTTTTAAGGTTAAATGAGGTCATTAGGGTGGATCCTAACCCAATATAACTAGTGTCTTCACAAGAAGAGACTAGGACACTGACAAGTTCAGAGGCAGAAGCATGTGAAGATGGGGGACGACGGCCATCTACAAGCCAGAGAGAGGGGCCTCAGAAGAAACCAACCCTGCCCACACCTTGATAGCAGATTTCTAGCTTCCAGAGCTTTGAGACCAGAAATTCCTATTGTTTAAGCCACCTAGTCTGTGATACTCTTATGGCGGCCCTAGCAAACCAATACACCTGCCCACACTACTTATTTTGCATCTTGCCCCTTTTCTCTGGCCTCTGATCCTCTTAGCCCTCCTTCTCTACCTTTTTTTCCCTCATAGCATCCATCACTTCTAACATATTTGTTTAGCTATGTTTTGTTTACAGGTTAGAACTCCCCTCCCACCCCTCACCCCCAAGTGAACTCCAAGAGGGCAGGAATCTTTTTTGTTGATTGCTGTATCGCAAGCACCTCCCACAGTGCGTGGCATAGCAGTTGCCCAGACAATATCTAATGGATGAATGAAAGCTACGACTCCCTAGGGTACTTGGACCTTATTGCTGGATTTGTATCTTTCTTCAGAGGGAGGATGCTGACGGACAGGGTGGACAGTCACTTCATTGGGCTGATTCCTCGGTGTCACATAATAAATGCTCTAACAGCCCCCATCCCGCACCCCCAATTCTCCACTATTCTCTATGTCAGTTAATAGATGGAGCTCTCTAATCAGGCCCCAAACCTGGAGACTGGTCCTGGACTGGTCCCTTCCCCTGCTCGATTCTTTTCCCCAGTTCTCTCCACTGCCGAGTTCGTGACTCGAGCCCGAGGCACTCACTACCAGCCTCCTCGTGGACCACTGAAGATGCTCTGAAGTCACTCGTGCTCTCACCTTCCCTGACCCTTCCCGCCCTCCACCCCCAACACACATGCACACACGCACGCACCGGCCTGCTCAGCCTGCTCGCTTGTAATCGCATGTTGGTGTTCTGCCTCACCTACTGGATACCTTGTGAGGCTTGAGGCTGGGGCTGTGCTCCCTAGCGCCGGCACAGGGCTTGGCACAAAGCCGATGCTCCAAACGGATTTGTTGGCCATCTCTTTTCTTGTTACCATGACTGTCCCCATGGTGGATGCCGGAGCACTGGGGAGGGGAGGTGACAGCTGGTTTCACTAGAGGGCAAAGCCCGATCGCCCCCTGGACCTGGCGCGCACTCACCTTGGCCGAGACCCCCCTCCAGCTGCAGAAAGCCTCGTAGGCGGCACGCACGGCGGCGCGGGCCTCGGGTACCCCGCAGTCGGCCACCAAGCCCAGCTCGGCGCCGCTGGCCGGGTCGTGCACCGGGAAGGTGGCGGCGGCCGAGAGCCAGCTGCCGCCCACGAAGCCGTCGGTGCGCAGCAGGGCCGAGGAAAGGCCCAATGGGCCCCGGGCGTAGCCGCGAATCCGGGCCACCGGGTAGTCGGCGCGGGGGCGGAGGACCCTGCTGGGAGGCGTCCGCGGGAGGTGCAGGGCCAGGCAGCTCCGCAGCCGAAAACAGGTCGCCATGGCCCAGGCGGCGGCGGCGGCGGCGGCGGCGGCAGGAAGCAGGCAAGCGAGCGTGCGCACCCGAGTGCAGGGATCAAGGCGGCGGCGGCGGGGACGCGCCGGGTGGCGGCGGACGCGGGCTGAAGGTGGCCGAGATGCGAAGCAGCGCCCTCTCCCCGCGCTCTTCGCTCTGCATCTCCGCGCAGTCTGGACCTTAACCCTGAGCGCCGGGCGGCTTGGCTTCCTGCGCGACCTGGGAAGGGTCGCTGGGAGAGACAGCTGAGGACTGCCGTGCCGTCATCTTTGTCCCTCTCGTTTGTCTAACTTTTCCTTAGCCCCTCAACCGCTGCAAGAGAACCGCTCCCTCTCTCCACCACTCCCCCAAACCGGCATTGCCCCGCCACCGGCATTTGTGCTTGGCCCATGAATATGCTGGTGTCTGCCCCAGCTTCTAAGGACGTGATCACGATTCTTTATTGCCATAGCTCCTGTGCACTCAGGATTTGGGGCGAGGGTTCTCCGAGAGGGTGCAGTGTGGTCCACCGTTCTGCTGCCTGGATGCTTTTCTAAGTGTGTGTCTAAGTGTTCTCTCCATTAACTGGGAGCAAGCAGGGGTGCCCATGATATAAGCGCCTTTGGAGACGAACAGACTTGGATCTAAGCTCAGAATCTGTTGTTGGCAAGCTGTGTAACCTTCTACAATTTATTTAACCTCCTTCCTCTCCTTTGTAGAATGGAACAATACCTACCCCATAGGTTTGTTGTGATTTAACATATGCTCAGTACAGCATTACTCAGTACGTTAAATTCAGCAGTGTTCAAAGCCATGCTAGCTGCCCTGGTTCAAACAACTAGTAAGACTAAAGTTAGGACACCTACTAGTCAGTGGGACCATTTTGTCAAAATCATCAACCAAGGTATAATCACAATTAGACTTGGCCTAAAACCCTGCAAGTAGCAAGGAAGCCTCAACTTCAATGAGGATAAAAATAAAAATAGCAGGCCTATACTCGGAATTTGTGGGTTCAAATGAAGCCTAACTCTAGGCGTTGATTGGATCACTAGTCTCAAAAAACTCCCCTTCTGTATCTCTCCTGACTGGAGAGTCTCTTGCTGGCTTTTGCAGAGCCTGTGGGCTCTTTACCTTTTCTAGATTTTTATTTGCAAAAGGCCGAGGCGGTACTTTATATTTTGACTTTGGTTTTTGCTGAGTCACTGTCACTCAATCTTGAGTCCGTCACATTTGGCAGAAATGGGAATAGCACTTAATTAAATAGTGTTTAATCTTTTGTGTGAGTGGGTTCACTTTTGGGTTCTGTATTCTATTGAAGGAATTGGGAGGTGAGAGGCAGTCCTGATGGAGACCACAGCTGGTTGGGTATCACATTCGGGACTGGGGAGCTGGTGTGCTTCCACCTACGGCCTGCAGAGGGAGCTCTACGGATAGTTGATTTCTAAGGGTTGGGGAAATCCATTCTGCTGAGCAAAAACTAAGTCCCAGAAAAGTGAAGTCTGCTGTGACTGCCTCTCTCGATCCAAAATTACTTTTTTTTCTAACTTATTATTTTTTCAGGGTTCTATTTCAAACGGTGCCCACTCTGCCTAGGGCCCATAGGACTTTTAGGGGAACACAAAAATATTGACCTTCTTATAAAATCAGAATAAAAAAATAAGCTTTTACGTTCAATATTAATAACCTTTATACCAATGCAGATGTAAAATGTGATTTTTTAAAAGTTTATTTTTATGAAGGAAGGGACCCTCCCCCCCAGCACCCCAACCAAGGCAAAAGTGCCCAGGGCCTAGGAAATTCACCATGTCCCCTGCCCTTCTCCCCAACTCACTGTTCTGTGCTCTTTGCAAGTTCCCATTGAGGGTGGGAAAAATTCCCTCCTGCTTCCGGGCTTGCTTCTAGGCCCGCCCAGAGCTGGCCAGTTGTGTTCATCAGGGCTTAAAAGGATAAGACCACCACCAGGTGACAGGGACCTTTCTTCCTCTCCCCTTGGCTTTCCCCTGTCCTCTACCTCTAATTCTCACTTTCTCCATCCTCTCTTCCATTCACTATAAGGGCACTATGATGACAGCAACATATTAGACTGTGCAGAAGTGAGCTGAAATTGTCTGCTTTATCTCAAAAGTTTCTGGACCTCAAAATTGTATCTCATTTAACTGCACAAGGAGACCCACCTTCACTTCAAAAGCCCTACCCTGTGTTGGCTTCATATACCAATCTAAACTGTTATAAAAGGTATATTGCTGTATATCTGAGTGTAAAGTTTTTATTTTTAAATTCAATAAGGAATATAGTTACTCGATAGAAGTCTAAGGTGCATCTTTTAGAAAGGGAACATTTCTTTTGAATGATAATAGTTAACATTCATTAAACACTTACTGTATACCAGTCACTTTTTTTTTTTTTTTGGCGGTATGCGGGCGTCTCACCGTTGTGGCCTCTTCCGTTGGGAGCACAGGCTCCGGACGTGCAGGCTCAGCGGCCATGGCTCACGGGAAGCGGCATGTGGGATCTTCCCGGACCGGGGCACGAACCCGTGTCCCCTGCATCGGCAGGCGGACTCTCAAACACTGCGCCACCAGGGAAGCCCTATACCAGTCTCTTTTAAGCATGTTACCTATATACTCATCTGATCTTCATGGCAACCCTATATGGTAGGCATTATTATTATCCCCATTTTTATGGATAATTTTATAAGTAAGGAAACTGAGGCAACGAAACTTTTAGTAACTTGCCCAAGGTCACCCTAATAGAAGGTAGCGGAACAGGGACCCAAATGAAACCTAAGGCCTTGTGGCTCTCAAGCCTGTATCTCCCCACTCATTCCTTAATATACCTGCATGTTTACTTCTCAGCTTGTGTCTCTATTTCCAGAAAAGCTCTAAATGGTAGACTCATGATGTCTATTTTATAACAAAGCCACCTGTATTAGGGAAAGAGGGCGTGCGGTAGGAAGAAAAACAATTCCATACACCTTTGTCAGGTAGCTTTCTTAATATTGCCAGCTCCATTTTAACTTTCCTTTAAAAGTCATATCTTCGTTACAAGCAGCATTGTCCTACAAAGGCCCTATCTCAAAACCATCACACTGTACTGCCTAAGCAAATAATCCCTCCCATTCTATTACATACCTAAAATCAAGTCATTCTGAATCTTAAACACAAAAAATATATGTAATGAGAAATTTGGCATTAATATGGCTTAGTTACTGAACCCTGAACCCATTTCTTTCTCTGGTGCTTTTTGGAGAGGTTTGCTTTATTAAACCTGATTAGATATTGTCTTCAGGCAGTGTTACATTTTCCCTGTCGACCCTTTGCAGCCCTTTACTGTTATTCATTGAATACTCCTGGGTCTTCTGGGCTTACCAGAGCCCTAAGTTATAATTGCCTCCCCCTCTCTTGCAGGCTTTGGAAAGCCCGGAATGACAGGGGAGCAAACTCCGTGGCCTCTGATGGCCAGAGGGGCATGGCAACCTGTACACGTGTGTGTGGGGCGGGCTGGAGGACGTGGGGAGGGCACCTCTGTCTGTGGTGGGGAGACTGCTGGCTCTTCAGCTTCAGCTGGTGGTCACATCACATGGGAATGTCAGTTCATGTAGCCAGTTTGTTGTTTTGCTTTTTTAAAGAGAGCTAGAAATCTAGGTTTCTATGTGGATTTTCCCCATTAAAAAAAAAAAAAGTTGGCCTAAATTTATAAAACACCCTATTTGCCAAACAAAACACATCAGCTTATGGCCTCTGACCTACAAACAGGAGCAGAAGGGCCTCATGCCATCAGGGTTGAGGGAGAGCTCTAGGATTCCTTTCCTTGGGGCTTTGCAGATGCAGAGTTAGGGTTACAGAGGAAACTTGGCAGACACCTAAGGGTCTCAAATCATCCCATCTTCTATTCTTCTCTTCCATTTGGCTAACCTGAGAAGGAATACCGTGTCCTCCCACTCTTTTAAAATCTCCTTTCTTGTTTTTAAGGTATAATATGCATAATTTGAGCTTTAAGATCACCATCATTTCTATGAAGAGTTAAACCTAATGTTTCCCATGGGTTAAGTGCTATAGATTGGATACTTTGTCAGGTGTATTCTGAACCTAGCATTTTCTGAATCCTTCTTTCTTGGTCCTAAATCTGTCTCTCCCCACTTGCCCCTCCACTCCCCACCCACCGACAGTGGTATTGGCATCTTTGTTTGGGCTGCAGGAATCTGACCAGGCAGCAAGCTCTGGATAAGCCCTATAAGAATAGCCAGAGATAAAAAGACCAGGAGTGGCTGCTGTTGTGTAATCAATCCCACACAAGTGTCATAATTTGTTGCCAGATACTGAAAGAGAAGCTGGTTCCAGCTGATCGTCATAAAAGATTTCCCAGCCCTTGTGGCTTCAGAGGCTAAGGAGACAGGGTAACCAGACGTACGTGTGGAAAGATGCAAGAGAAATCGGCTCTTGTAAGGTGAGGTGGTCCAATATACTGATTATCAATAGAGACAGGTGAGTCTTTTTTTTTTTTTTAAAGAAAGCGAAGAATATTTGGAGACAACTTTGCTTGTGTCTCCGTCCAGATTTCATGTTAAAAAGAAATCCAGGGGAAAGCGGGGTCAGAAGATGGGAATGCACCACCTGGAGGCATTTAGATTTCAGTTTATCGCTTTTTTCTTTCCCAGGTGGAGTTTGTTTGCTGTTCTGGTGAAGTTAAACAGTAGTTAAACAGTTGAGTTCACTGGAAAATGATATTATTTTGAAATGAGGCTGGGTTTCCCGTGTCAGTGACCTGCTCAGCGGGAGAGCAGTGGGTCTGGGCCAGGATTTCAGACTCCGTGCTGCCGCAGCTCTGAGCATTTCTCGTCACCATAGGAGCAGGGAGTAATGAGAGCATGTCTACTTTCAGATTCTGGTCAGGAGTGCTGATTGCACTGGGCTCCCTCTGCCCTAGAAGCTCACCGTGTGGCATTTCAACACACATAGAAATAGGTAAGTGCCGACCCCTTGTCATGGTATTAAGGACAGTATATCTGTCAGAAATGTTAAGGAAGGGATTTAAAGTCTAACGCGTGTATTGATAATGAGTTTCCCTGCTGCACTGAGCTGTGGGGCAGTGGAGAAGAAAAAGCCAGAGATGGAGTCGTCCAGGATTGGGGATTGACTACTGGGGTGAGGTCCGTGGAGGAACAGGAAGCCTCCTTGGTCATTGGGTCCCTGGCTGTTTCTCCGCGTGGG